CTAATACAGTCCCTTCTTTGATAGGAATACTAATTTTGTTAAACAAGAAAATATCATGTCCTGGATAGGAGAAAGCATTTGACAAAGCATCTTCTGAAACCGGTGAAGATAAGTAGAGACTTGTGGGGCTAGTACAATTAAGTGGATTTACAAACGGTTTAACAACTGTGCTTGAGTGCTAATTAATAGAATCCTGCCCTTTGAGAGAGAGACTGTTTCATTGCTCTAGCCTGTTTATTTTTATCAGGTACCTAAGACCTAAAAGAAATTTCAGGGTTACATAGAGCCAGAAGTGATAGCTAATTCGTTGAATGTTAGAGGCAAGATCCCCAAAGATCCCAACCAGTTGGAACAATTGGAGGAATGAAATAGGATGAATCATGTAAAACCTGATAATAAGGTTCTGAGTACAAAACGAAGGTGCTTAATGACTTAACCATGGCATGTAGGAAAGACAGGGTTTTGGGTGGCTGGCTCTGCATGGCACGGTGGTGTGAGGACGGCTGTCAAAAAGCTGCTGTGTTCTTTCACCGTAATGACACTTTTCTACGTTATCTCCTCACCAGAACCCAAGCTCCTCGAGGGCAGGGATCTTGTCTTACTTATGGCGGCATCCCCAGCCATCCTAGCACAGTGCCTGGCACATAGTAGGTTCTTGGTAAATATGTGTGGAGGGAAGGCATCAATGAAAGCAAGCAAGCTTTATTGCAGATTGCAGATATAATTACTATTTCAGATACCATGTACAAAAAATTCAACCATTTGAGTTGGAGTCTCACTCAGTTGCCCAGAATGGAGTGCAGTGGCTGCTCCCGGCCACCGCAGCCTCGACCTGCTGGGTTCCGGAGATCCTTCCGCCTCAGCCTTCCAAGTAGCTGGAACTACAGATGCGTGCTACCATGCCTGGCTAATTTTTTTTTATTAATTGTAGAGATGAGGTCTCTCAAGTGGGTCTCGAACCCGCGGGCTCACGCAATTCACTCACCTCGGCCTCCCAAAGCACGGGATTATAGGCTGAGCCACCAAGCCCGGCAATAGATCAAAATCTGAGTAAGATTTTATTTCTTCCCACTATATGATTTTGATAAGCTTTTTTTTTTTTTTTTTTTTGAGATAAGGTCTCACTATGTTGCGGAGGCGGATCTCAAGCTGTTCTCTTACCTTGGCTTCCCAAAGTGCTAGAATTACAGGCATGAGCCACCAACCCATCCCAGTAAACTGCTTTATAGGGGACTTCTTTTAACCTTGTATAAGATACTATTTAAAGGCTGGGCACAAGCTGGACATGGTGGCTCACACCTATAATTCCAGCACTTTGCGAGGTGGAGTTGAGAGGATTGCCTCAGTCCAGGGGTTTGAGACCAGCCTGAGCAATTTGGTAAGAACTTGTCTCTCAATAAATAAATAATGTTTTAAAAAATTAGCTGGGTATGTTGGTGTATGTCTGTGGTTCCAGCTACTTGGAAGGCCAAAGTGGAAGGATCACCTGAGCCTAGCAGATTGAGGCTGCGATGGCTGTGAGTATGCCACTGCACTCCAGCCCGGATGACAGAATGAAACTTCTACTCAAAAATAAAATAAAAATAAAGGCTGGGCATAGTGGCTCATGCCTGTAATCCCAGCACTTTTAGGAGGCCAAGGCAGGAGGACTGCTTGAGGCCAGGAGTTCAAGGCCAGCCTGGGCAACATAGTGAGGCCTACTTATTAAATATAAAATAAAATTTAAAAATTAGCCAGGCATGGTGGCACATGCCTATAGTCCTAGTTACTCAGAGGCTGAACCAGGAGGATCACTTGGGCCCAGGAGTTTGAGGCTGTGATGAGCCATGATCATACCATTGCACTCCAGCCTGGGCAACAGATTTGAGACCTTGACTCAAAAAATATATATATAAAAATAAAAATAATTAAATCAGATATACTATGCAGTGAGTGCTATTAAACAGAAAGACGCACACAATCCTGAAAATGCTCATTTTCCTTTTCTGACTGCAATTTAAAAAGTTAAAGGAGATTATATGAATTGTGTATAAAATCGGTTTCTAGTACACAATGGGTGTTTAATACATTTTTTAAAATTAACGTCATCTGTTATTTTTAAACTGAATTATTCTTACCATGAGTTTTGGCTTTATGAATTCTTAAGTAAAATGACCAGTTGTAGTCATGACCAGGTGTGAAGATTTCCACCCTTGAGGGGATGAAGCAGTAAACTGCCTCCTTCCGGTTCAGACCGTGTCCCCCACAGTGCTGGGGGAGACCCCTCCTTAGCCTCCAGTTGTCACATTAGAACTATCCCTCGAATTGTGTCATGCCCTAGTGTCCTCAGAGAAGGTGATGGTCACTGCATGTCTGCTTAAGTAGAAGAAAGTAGTGCAGGTGAGAGGAATATCCAGAAAAGTTCACTTTTACTTGAGGTTCCACTGAGTTACTTGAAAAATCAATTCAGAGATCTGTAAAGTATACACATACACCTCCCCATACACACACACACACACACACACACACACTAGGGTCTTGTGAAAAATAACATTTAGGTAATATAAGGACTTTGAGAAGGTTAACACTGTATAGATGTAAAGTTTCGGCACATATATTAATAACTTTTTTTCTTTTCTGAAGGTTTTATGACTTACCTAGTGGAGCCTTTATTTACGGAATGGGCCAGATTTTCCAATACAAGACTATCCCAGACAATGCTTGGACACGTAGGGCTGAATAAAGCCAGCTGGAAGGGACTGCAGAGAGAACAGTCCAGCAGTGAGGATGCCAATGCTGCATTTGAGTTGAACTCACAGTTCATACCTCAGGAAAATCGGTTATCATAACCCCCAGAACCAGAGGACAAACTGCCTCCCAGAGGTTTTTAGAAATGTGAAATAGGGTCTTGAGGTGAGAGAACTTACTCTTGACTGCCAAGGTTCCCGAGTGAACGATGCCAGCCAGCATTACTTATTTCCAGGATTTCCTCTGTTGGATCATTGGAACCTACTTTTTAATTATAAGACCTGAACATATAGCAATATGAATTTGGCTTTCGTGTGAAACCTTGAACATGCAAAGCCTAGCAGGAGGAAATTCAGAAGTAGTAACAGGAAATTTTGAGGAGTGCCACGAGTTTTTCAAAGCATCTGTTCTTCAAACCATGAAACTTGAACTGAATCGTCCAGCAGCAGTCTCTTGGAATTTAACCAGCCTGATGCAACAATGTGTATCTTGTACCTTCCACTAAGTTCTCTGAAAAAAGGAAATGTGAAGTGCCCCTCTGCTGCCTCTGGCAAGACTCAATGTTTACAAATCAACTCTGAAAATATTGGTTCTAAATTGCCTTGGAGCATGATTGTGAAGGAACCACTAAAAAATTTTAAGATCAAACCTTAGACTGCAGCTCTTTCCCCCCTGGTTTGCCTTTTTTTCTTCTTTGGATGCCACCAAAGCCTCCCATTTGCTATAGTTTTACTTTGTGCACTGGAAACTAAGCATTTATCATAGAGTACCGCCAGGCTTTCACTCCAGTGCTGTTTGGCAGTGCAATTTATTTTTAACTATTAGTTTTTAATTTGGGGTGGGAGGGGAAGAACACCAATGTCCTAGCTGTATTATGATTCTGCAGTGAAGACATTGCATGTTGTTTTCACTACTGTACACTTGACCTGCACATGCAAGAAAAAGATGGAATGTTTAAAACACCATAATCAGCTCAGGGTATTTGCCAATCTGAAATAAAGTGGGATGGGGAAGTGTGTCCTTCAGATCAAGGGTACTAAAGTCCCTTTTGCTGCAGTGAGTGAGAGGTATGCTGTGTGTGAATGTGTGGATGTGCGTTTGCGTGCATGTTTGTGCATGTATGACTGTGCATGTGTTATGTTTATCCATGTGGGAAAACATTTGAAATGTAAGCTTTTATTTATTTTAGAATGTGACATAACGAGCAGCCACACTTGGGGGAGGGGAAGGTAGGTAAGCTGTAACAGATTGCTCCAGTTGCCTTAAACTATGCACAAAGCTAAGTGACCAAACTTCTTGTTTTGATTTGAAAAAAGTGCATTGTTTTCTTGTCCCTCCCTTTGATGAAATGTTACCCTTTGATGGGCTTTTTGATGTGAACAGATGTTTTCTAGGACAAAATATAAGGACTAATTTTAAACTTAAAACATTCCACTTTTGTAATTTGTTTTAAATTGTTTTATGTATAGTAAGCACAACTGTAATCTAGTTTTAAGAGAAACCGGTGCTTTCTTTTAGTTCATTTGTATTTCCCGTTACTGTAAAAGACTGTTTATTAATTATGTTTACAGTTTGTTGCAACAGCCATTTTCTTGGGAGAAAGCTTGAGTGTAAAGCCATTTGTAAACGGCTTTGCCATACTCATTTTAATATGTGCCTGTTGCTGTTAACTTTTGATGAATAAAAACCTATCTTTTCACATGTTATCTTTGATATTTATCTTATAACTCAATCCCCTGCAAGTCACAAAGCTAAATTACAGAGCAATCAAAAGTAAACCCTTGGCTCCTGCATTCACTCATCGGATGTTTCCTTAGTCAGAGCTCATCTACTGTCTGCACCGGATGTGGGAGCAAGCTGAAGCCCGCTGAGGGTTTGCTCAGAGTCCGACTAACACAGGGCAGATGTCAGCTTTGAGCCAGGCCTTTTGACTCCATAGCCTTTTGTTCTCACAATTGGGAACAACTGCATAAGACATCAGCAGCTCTTATGAGTACTAAAACACTGGTTGCACTTATTTGTCATTGGCCTTTTTAAAGTAGTAAGAAATGGCCACTTACTTCTACTAGACTGGTATCAGTGTAAGAAAGGTACCCTCTGCCTCTCCTCTAGCTTTCCAGGTCCAATTCATTAGAAGGGATTTAGTGCAGACTTCGGTCAACATATTGTCGTTGTCTGTATGGAAGAGGGATGATGTCCAATAGAAATGGAATGCAAGCTACATATGTAATCTTCAGGTTTCTAGTAGCCACATTAAAAAAAAAATACCATAATTTTAATAACATTATATTTATTCCAAAATAGTCTGTCATTTCAAAATGTCGATGTAAGTTATTATTGAGATGTTTTACATTCTTTTTTTGGTACTAAGTCTTTGAAATCTGATATGCATTATATACTTAACAGATATTTCAATCCAGACTAGTCACATTTCAGGGCTCAATATCCACATGTGGCTAGTGGCTACCATATTGGACACTGTGGGTCCGAGGGGAGCAGAGTTGGGTGTTACCTCGGGAAGGTCAACTTGTCACTCATAGGAGTAGCATCACCTCTCCAGATATGATGTGTCCCAAGAGTCTGATAAGGATTCGTAAAAGCTCACAGACCCAGTTTGTCAGCACATAGAGAGTGGAACTACCTCATGGCAAACTTACATTAACCAAACTCCCAATAATAGCTATCTTTTTCAAACAAGTGTCAATATTTTTACAATGAGAAATATAACTATCAATTATTCTCTCCCTTTAGACAACTCTTCCTGGGAAACCAAGTTATGATCAGCTGGTTACTTGGTTCCTATGCTCAGCATAGGGCTTGTGTAAATTAGGGATCAATAAATGTTTGTTGAACAAATTAATTTGGAATTAATGTGTTCCTTTTTTAGCTATCATATTATTAAGAGAAATTATATTGAAACTAGTCTGTCTATACTGAAGTCACGTGACCATCAACCAGTTCCTACTCAAATCCCAGCTCCCAGAAAATGTGAGAGAGAATCTAAGATGCAAGTTGTGCTCAAGGCAAGAAGATTCCAATGGCAAATATTTCACTCCAACAACTTATGTTATGCCAGCTGTTCCATCAATGAATACTAAATGATCACTGGAAACGAAGATAAAACTACCCTCATTGCCATCATTTATTACTAATTTTTACATCAACTGTTTTATACCCAAATAGATGCATATAAAACATTTGTACAGATAAATTAGTGTTAAGAATTTAAAATGTGCAGTAATATCCACAAATGTTCTATGTTCTGAAATCTGTATGTTTTTAAGACTGGAAACCTGAACACCCTGGCTGCACATTAAAAACATGTCAGAATACACGTATGTGATAAAGAGCTCCCAAACTGACTATCTCATAAAAGCAAGATCAGACTTACATGCTTTCATTAATCCTCTAATTAGGCTAAAAAGGAGACCACTGAATATTAAAGTTTGGTATTTCCTAAGTAGTGTTGATTCCTACTAGCCAAACTTAGCCCTCACAAACCAACAGCAAAACCAGGATAGTCTTTTGCAGCTCATTGTCTGTTAGGCGTTTGATACATTTTCAATTAAAGCCTTCATTTTTCCTGTTGTCTTCAACATGTGTGGCCCAAACTAAAAAAGAAACAAAAAGCATAAATAATGATATTGGTTCAAATAACAGTAATGATATGCCCCCTACCTAACCTAATCTTGGATCAGAAGGCTGCATGTTCTATTCTGCATGAGAAACCAAACAGCTGTTGGTTATTAAAACTTTACAGCCGGGTGTGGTGGCTCATACCTGTAATACCAACACTTTGGGAGGCAGAGGTGAGAGGATTGCCTGAGCCCAGGGGTTCATGACTAGTCTGGGCAACTTGGAGAGACTTAATCTCTACAATAAATAAATTAAAAATTAGCCGGGCATGGTGACTTGTGCCTGTAGCTCCAGCTACTTGGAAGGCTGAGGCAGAAGGATGGCCTGAGCCCAGCAGGCCGAGGCTGCAGTAGCCGTGAGAATGCCACTGCACTCCAACCTGGGCGACAGTGAGACTCCTCAGAACAAAACAAAACAAAAAAAGCTTTGTAAATAGCAGGGTGGTTAAAAAAAAAAAAATTGCAGGGTGTTATAACGGCATAACATAATGAAAGGCAAAGAGATAGCCAAATTGCTTCCTAGACAAAACTACAATCATTTTGACAATACTCTAGTTTTGTCCAACTTTACATCTCTGAGTAAAGGGAAAGAGTAGTTTCCAATGTGTAAAGACTTTAAAATGTGCTAGAATTTCTGAGATATCTACCTCTTTGAAATTGATAAGCATATATATCCCCCATGATAGTAATGTTCATAAAGGGAATGTATAAATTAGTATTTGAAAGCTTCCATGAAATATACTAGTCTCTACCTATGACATGATACACATCCTTCAAGGCCCACGTCAAATCTCACCCTCTTCAGAAAACACAGGGTACACTGAGAAAATGATCTGCTTTACTCTTAACTTCTGTATCACAAAGTACAGACTGCCTGTTATATTGAATTCCACTTCATTATGCTGAAGAAAAAATACAACTCTGCACAGAAAATTTAACATTGGGGCTGGGCGTGATGGCTCACACCTATAATCCCAGCACTTTGGGAGGTGGAGACAGAGGACTGCCTGATTCCAGAGGTTTGAGATCAGCCTGGGCAACTTGGTAAAACTTCATCTCTACAATAAATCAAAAAATTAGCTGGGTATGGTGGCACATGCTTGTAATTTCAGCTACCTGGAAGGCTGAGGCGGAAGGATCACCTGAGCCCAGCAGGTCGAGGCTGCAGTGGCCGTAAGTGAGATTCCGACTAAAAAAAAAACAACAAAAAAAACCATTGGGATTGCTGAGCAGTGAGCTCAGGGGTTAACTTTTGCTTTCTTCTTTTTGGTCCTCTGCAAACTTCATATTTCCAAATGCACAACTATTACTTTTATGGCCAGAAAAATAAAAATATAAATGCTAAATGAAGATGTTATCCTTTTCCCAGCTAGCTGCAATGCAAGTAGGAACTAAATCCTTTGAGTCTTGCAGAGGATATGGCTGAATGACTGGCAAAATACAGGTACTCAGCAATGGGTGAACTCCCACTTAACAGGCACGAAACCTGGGCTAATACTCACCAACACTGTCTCTGAGGTAGCCTCTGATTCAGACTTTGGAACTCCTTTTTCAACTTCATCTTGGCTATCACTTCGATATCGATAAGCAAATTTCTTTTTCAGAGCCTCTGCTATGAGGGCAGCGGGGTCAGTAGCATCCACTGGCTTGGGCTTTACATCTTGCTCTGACCTTAAGTGAACAGAAACTCAGGGTCAAGTGAATATGCTGACCTCTGGGGAAGTGTTCTGACAGCTGCTGACCTGACAGCACCACCCTAGCATCACAGCCACTCCACAGACCTCGTAATTACTGCCAGCAGTGAGGTGGAAGCTTAGAGTTAAGGCTCCACATAAGAGCACACCAGAGGCCAAAAAAGAGCCACTGACTACACCGACAGAACACTGACTGTGCTCTCCTTCAGGACAATTAGGATGCCATCTTCCCTGAGTGTCTAGTGGCTATCCTAGTGGGCACACAGCATACCTTTACTGAATGAATGCATGAGCAATCACAGTCAAGACGTGAAAGGGCTGATATTTAAATGAAATGGGAAAACTAAAAACACCACCCTGAAACTATTAGTTTATTTTACGAATCCTTAGCTACTGTGTATTAAAACCACTGGGACCCATCTTTTGTTAAACTAAAAACTATTCATGGTGGTCATGTTATAAAATCAAATTTCTCAAGAAGCCTGGTATTTTGGTTTTACAAGACAGAAAAATGGAGATTTAAGAAGGAAGTTAAATGTATCCTCACCTCTTTACTGATCGAAGTTTTACACTGTTCATATCTTTAAGGATCTCTAGCATATTTGGCATGTCAGGCTTCTTTGGATTGTTCTTAACCAAAGTCTTTCCAGCACTGGCTTTTTTCTCTCTCCGTTCTTTAATCAGATCAATAGCAGATATACTTTGGTGAAGCCCTGGTGGAGGGGGAGGCAGGGGTGGTGGGGGAGGCGGAGGGGGTGATGGTGTAGGAACGGATGTGGCAGAGTTGAAGTCACCTGTAGAAATACGGAAAAATAAACTTAATTCTGATGGTATTAGGCAAAGAAAATATCCGTATTTAAAAGCAAAATTATGTTTAGGATTTGTGTCCCTAGAAATAATATCTTTGAAAAAAAATCTGTTATGTAAGGAGAAAGGCAATTTCAGATACTTCATGAGAAATGCTTGAATCTTAGCCACTATCCTTCTTTTTTGTTTTTTGGTTTTTTTTTTGAGTTGGAGTCTCACTCTGTCAACCCAGACTGGAGTGCAGTGGCCGCTCCCGGCCACCGCAGCCTCGACCTGCT